AGTTTTGGGATACATACAATATTCTTGATGACAAATGCATTTCATAGAGAATTTAAGATTCTCACTTTTTTCGTTACATGAATAAAATTCAAACTTCATAAAAGGAAAAGCTTTTTCAGTTAATCCACCGTACAGAAAACAGTGCAGGACAATCTTGCAGTACAAGGTTTCAGGATAGTTAGATATACCCCTGCTCCTTATACTATAAACAATAAAGTCTACCAAGAATCAACTCAACTCCCAGACATGGCGCAACAAACTGTATAGGCTTTAGTGAGTGTTAACTGCTCCTTCGTTGACAAATCAAAGTGAAACTAAGGGGATACATAGCCACCCTGTTCTCATCCCTAAACAAAACAGATGCACACCATATATATGGAAACACAGAAAACTTTTTACTCTCCTATGCAGTGTGTTGTCCAATATGACACCCTTAATTAGTGAAAGGACTTACTTCCTTTTAAGAATAATTTGATACAATACGCCGGTGCTGATAATGTTCAAGTTCTTCAGTATCTGATATCCAGGAGCATCTACGTACGCAAAAATGTAATACTGCAAAGACCCGTGCGATTTCAATCAACTATATGCGAATAGACATGTGAGATAAAAGAACTAATCAAGTTTGGGAGTTAAAAAAGAAGAAATAACCAAAGAGAAAGCTAAACCTGCCTGAAGTAGATTCTTGACAAGGTAAAGTGCAGCGGGAATGGGATACACTTTAACTTCATCCCACGTAGTGCTCAACCTAAAAACATTAAGAGATTAATAGAATATGAGAGAAAAGAACTCGCCTTTTTATAACAGAAAACAACCTTTTTTTTAACAGAAAACAAACCTTAGTATCCAAATTATTATAGCCTGTTTGGCCAAGCTTCTTTTTGGCCAAAAGTGCTTTTTTTTTGCCAAAAGCACTTTTGGCAAAAAATTGAGGTGTTTGGCCAAGCTTTTGGAAAGAAAAAAAAGTGCTTTTGAGGAGAAGCAGAAGCAGTTTTGGAGAAGCATAAAAAAGTAGCTTCTCTCCGAAAGCACTTTTTTGAGAAGCACTTTTGAGAAAAATACACTTAGAAGCAGTTTTTTAAAGCTTGGTCAAACACTAATTGCTGCTCAGAAGTGCTTTTCAAACTAATTAGCCAAACACAAACTGCTTCTCACCAAAAGTAGTTTTGAGAAAAGCACTTTTGAAAAAAAGCACTTCTCAAAATAAGCTGATTTTTGCAGCTTGGCCAAACGGGCTATTATTCAACAGACAAGTTAAATAAAAATGTTTGGCGGTCTGCAGTGTTAATCCACCAAGGCAATCTTCCAAAGGAGGTAACTTATTTTGTTATTCATTAGTCATAAGTTGATATACAGACAGTGAAAATTTTAAAAGCTAATAGTAAATGGTTTAATGAAACCAAAGCTAATTCATATACATAGGAAAAGTCTAGCAGTAAGATGGAATAAACACCAAAATTTGGATCTAAAAATCTGCTTAAGTTAACCATGAGCCCTGTGTGCAAATACCCCTATGATCTTAAAAGGTAGGTATCCAACTGAGTTTTCTAATATGTGAAAATGCATTTTCCACATCAGCCAAGGGTTTAGCCTAGTGGTCAATGAAATGAGTACAAACCTTAGAAACTAGGGTTCAAATCCCAGCAAAGGCAAAATATACCATGTGATTTCTTTTCATCTGCCTAAGCCATGGTAAGTAGAGTTACTCGAATACTATGTTGGTGGAAAGTACCAGGTATTCGGCGGAATAGCCTAGGCGTGCGCAAATTGGTCTAAACACCACCATTATCACAACAATAACAACTACTCAGTCTCAAACAAGTTAGGATCTACTATATAATTTCTCCATTTAAATCCATCTCAAGCAAACACTATACAAAATAAAAACAAAAAGTATGATAAGTTCTCAATATATTCTCCTATCCCCAAATCTATGCTTGCAATGCTCAAGTAGAAATTTATAACTCAAATAGAAAAAAGGGCAAAAATTAGCATTTTCAGCTTTTTATCCCCTGGAAACTGAAATTTAACAATAAAAATAGTGTTACAAACCTGTTATCATCAGTAACGCCGTCCTTTCTCCAGATTCTTACCAATGCCGCAAGAGATAATGCACATTTCAATGCCTCTACCTAATTACATAGAAGCTTTAAGTCAAATTACACAGCAAAGTAACAATTGAGCAATAGTTTACGACTATAAACTCAAAACAACACTAAGAATCAGCAAAATAACTATTCTTCCATTCCACTAACCAAAAAATTAGCAGTTGTTACACTGTACTCATACTTTCCAGCTCTCTTCGACCACACAATCAGTATCGATTGTGAACTCGTGAGAACCGTCAGAATTAGCGTTACAGCTGACCTACAAACAAACAAAACATGAGCAATTATTCTCATTATTTACACGGATCATTTCGCAATTTTTTAAAGCTGAAATGAGGATGAAAGAGAGTGATAAACCTTCGGCTTTTCTGTTTTAGGCCATTCATCTCCGGCATTACTCCGATTGCGGCCATGATTTATGCTTCTGATGATTTTTCCGATCTCGAATTTCTAGGATTTCATCAGGAGATTCGTCGAGCGCGTTAGGGAAGTGTGATGATGAAGCTTCCGAATCACAGTTAGCTCGGAGATTGCAGATTCAGTCACTGATTGTGTGAAGAAGTGGAAGGGGTATTGGGCTTGGACGGTTCTATTGGATTGGGCTTTGAAAATGGGTGATTTGCACAAATACTATATCATAAACTTATTTACCTATGTTATTTATGTTTTGAACTTTTTAATAAGTATTTAGGTTTTTTTTACAAATTATATATATTGCTTCTTAAAAGACTACCACTCCATTATTAGTGGAATTACATTATATTCTTTCCTTTTTTTTTCCCTCTCCTCTTCTCTCTCCCTTTTTTCCAATTAAAATCCCTTAATCTACGCCCAAAATCTCCAACTTCTCTCTCTCCTCACCATTAACTTTATATTATTAAAAATTATTCTGAAATTTTATGATAATTGTAGGATAACTGTATAATAATTGTATTTGAATTGTATCAGCTACATAAATGCTTAAAACATAAATGTATCATACTTGTATCACGTTTGTATCTAACTTGTATATGGTATATTAATACCCGATATAATACATGATACAATACTAATAAACTAATATACAATTATCATACTTGTGATACAAATTATGAAATTCGCCATGAACGCACAATTGCTAGTAACAATATGCAATGAATATATAATAATCATACATTTGTAATACAATTCGTGCAACAATGATACATATACAGTTATAATACAATCACAATACATTTCTGAAAAATTGTGACACAATTGTGATCTTCAGCTTCTTCAAGTTTCAATCACAATATAGGTCTTCATCTTCTTCATCTTCTGTATATGATTGCCAATGAGTCACGCCAAATTTATACACGCCAAATTAAAATGGATGGTCACGTGCTCCTATAAAAATTGGGCCGTATCAAAGTCCAAATGATTGGAGCGATGGCGTATTGCTACGGTGCGAACGTGCTCTTTCCTTGTCACTCCTTTTATTCCTCACCCATTCTTCATCTCTTTCCCACTCCATTAGCTTACCGGCCGTTCAATGATGATGTGTCGCCGGCGAAGATTAAGCGGCGACTTTCTTTTTCTCCTTCAGTTCCGCTGCCTTTCGACCTTTCTCCGCCTCCCGTTGACCACGACCTCCTCGTAAGTATAATAATACCATTGGGTGGGTTTGGCGAGGAAATGAAGGGATTTTGGGTAAGTATTGATTTTGGGTATCTTAAATGTGGAATATTTTATGTAACTAATACTCACTATTTAAGGTATAATTCATTTCCTCTTTTTTTAAGGTTTTGGGTAAAATAAGTAAATATAGGTATATATAGTTATTACTCCCTCCGGTCCAAAATAAGTGATTTTTTGGATGTTTTCACATAAATTAAGAAATTCACCTTTTAGCATTAATTAGCAATGAAATTGACCATATTAACCTTTACTATCTCACATAAACACTCCTAACACATATTCCAACACCATTTACTTCAAGGACAATGTAGGAAAAAAATAATTAATTCATTCTTGAAATCTGGAAAAATCACTTATTTTGGACCACAAGAAAAAGGCCAAAAAATCACTTATTTTGGACCGGAGGGAGTAATAAGAAACCTAAATAAAAGTAGTAAATAGGTTTCTACCATAGTATAGCTAGGTAAAAATCCCGCACAAATAGGACACTTCGATACTACTATTAATTTTTTGACCCCGCTTGCCACACGGGCATAACTTCAAATTTTACAAGTATTGTCCCTCAACTACCCCGCGGATAAGGATTTTGACTTTTGACTTTAAATGTTTGCCCATGAAATAAGCGGAGGTTAAAATCAAGATTATCTATTTTCAAGGTCATTGAGCCTAATTTCTTTTATTTTTACGGGCATGCTAGAATTATTTTTGGCCCATCTACAAGTTTTTTCTTTTCTTATTTATTATCTCTCTTTCTTTTTTTATTATTGTTCTAAAACTTAATCGAGATTGTTAGTGAACGGGAAGCTCAAGAACAATAGAAAAAGGCAAATTAGATGATTCAACGACTGCACATAAATTGAAGAATGTGTATTGACAAGCTAAGATCAAGCAAGTGATTACGAGACAAGTCAAGTAAAGACATTGAGATGTTAAGAAGTTAATTACATGTAGTTATAGTTATCGGTAGATTAAAAGAAGGGACTCTTTATATAACCAATTATATTCATTGTTTATTTGCCTCATAATTATACAAAATTAATACCTGATTATTTATATATTATTCATCCATCAACTATTTTAAATTTAAGTGATTGAATAAATAGCTATTTAGGTTAATTCTTCTAAAAAGAAATATTAGCATATTTGTTGATGTAACGTCAATCCAAGGGAAAAGAATTTGGTTCCTAATTTTCTTTTTTCTTGTATTACATGTAACGTTGTTGTTATTCCTGTCATTTTCCATCAACACAACAAAAGGCGAATAGAAAAGAAAGTCGCCCATTTTCACTTTCCCCAATTTCCATTCTATTCTCTCTATTGAACCCATAACCTATACATACACACAATTCAATCCACATCCGTGTATATATACAGATCGAGAAGGGTGGGGTGGGGTGGGTGAAAAAGGAGAAATGGCATCGGAGGATGAATTGATGATGCAGGACGCCACCGACGACGGCGAATCCTTCGATGATGACTTCTACAGCGGCGGCGATGCCCATGAGTCCGACGACGATGACGTCATGGATTACGATTTCAACGACAACGAATCCGACGATGATTCCGATACGTGCCTCGCTCATAACCGTTCTCAGGTACAAACTTATCAACATATATAAACAAATTATGATTTTGTTAGCTTTTTTTTTCTTTCATTTTTGAGCTGTAAGTTTAGTAACTTTTGAATTTGGAGCTGTTTTTATTTTGTTATGATTACTGGAAATATTTTATGTTAGTAAACAAATTTAATGGACGATTGTTTCAGCTGCTAATGAAGGTTTTATTCAAAATCAACCATTTTTTTATCTACTAGAGTTCCGGTGCTCAACTAACATTTTTGTTGTTTCAAAATCCTTATTTTGGCAATTGAAACCTAGATTTGTGACGACAGGGGGGGGGGTATATGTACTACGAGCTTAGAATTGATTTGCGTGGAAGGAAATTGAGGAATGGTTTGGTCGAATTAACTGGGTTTTCTTCCATATTTAAAGAGCTTTGTAAGAGTAATTGGGGTTGTTTTGTTCAAATTCCAGCGGAGGCAGAACACAAGGTGATTGACTGATTTCTTTGTATTTGCCTAAGCCTTGGGCAGAGTCACCCTTTAAATGTGCTGGTGGGAGGTTGGAATAGTTGAGGTGTGCACAAGTTGGCCCGGATACCACCGTCATAAAAAAAAAAGAATAATTGGGGTTGCCTGAAGAATACATTTTAGTTTCTTGAAGACAGACAGGAGCATTAACTATTGCCTTTGTTTGGAACTCATAGTGCGTGCTCTTTTTTCTGATTTTCTGCTATTAGGTTACGGGTCTAGTGTCCACATTATGGTTTTTTTAAAAGCAAGGGTTTTGTAATGGTACTTCTTTGAGCAGAAGATTGGGTGCAAGTGTCCTCTCTAATCATAGCTCATGAAGCTTCTGCATTGTGAAACTAAGATATCTCACCTCCTGCATTGACAAACAAAAGTATGTTCCTAATAGGGATACTATAAGTCTGATATGGCATAAATCATAATGGCAAAAGTATGTCCCTAATAAGGATACTATATGTTTTTTCTCAAAAAATAGGAATACTGTAAGTCTGATATGGATTAATAATGGGGCTACTCAGATTTTAAAAGGCTACTCTAAGTATCGGATTTGTGGCAGTCCAAGTAGAATTAGAGGTCCAGCATGCTGTGAAAACTGAAACCTAATTTATCATGGATCGTGGAAGGAATAAGAAAGTATTTTTGGGCTGAATATGGGTGCTCCAAGGAATGCTCGAGTAGTGTAGGAACCTTTTCTGTGTGGTGCCTGGTAAGAAATGCCACTGGCTAAACCAAATTGCACATTATTTCTTTTTTGATGCCAAAAAGTTTAAAAGAACAGGTTGTGGAAAGAAGCACCTTCGGGTTGGAGGTATTATAGATTTGATTAGGCAGGAAAGTGATAGTCTGGCTGCAGATTCTGATTCTTAATGTTGATGTTTTTACCACTTCCATTACTGAATTCCGAGATTCTGGACATATTCTTAAGATTGAAGAGTAATACCTTGACAAGGGACCTGAATCACCTAATGTCCTGAGGGATTATAGATCCCAAAAGAAATAATAGAAGGATAGAGCAGAAGAACTTGTAGAGTAAGTGTAACAAAAAGACTTTAATGATGAGTTCTGTTTACGGAAGGGAATTTCTTGATGCTGCTCCTTCACTTCGGTTGAGTTCTGCATGTTATGTGGATCTAAAACAAATCTCAGACTTGTGTGGTCCTCCCACTCCTTTGGAGCCCCCGTTGTGAAATTTTGTTTCTTCAAAGGAGGGGACTTAATTATTTGGGTCTTGTAAACGGCCATAAGATGTTGCTAGTATTCAAGTGGACTTAAAAGGGAGACAGGGGACAAGATTTTGAATAGGGAAGGATAGAACCTCATTTGATAATTGTAGTGTAATCCTAGAGAAATTGTATGCTTACGATTAATAAGCTTTAAGTTATCATATGGATCTCTTTAAGGCAAATACAATTACAAATTTGTTGTAATCCGTGTGGAAAACACTAGGTTTTAGTACATTAGCTACCGCTAAATTTTGCTTAATTATCCTAGTTTTTGATAAAGTGAACTAACAATTGAATTCCCAGTGTGTAACCATGGTTATCCAGCGGTTGTGATCTTTAACAAGCTATTTTTTTTTTATAACCATGGTGTTCGGCCCAGCTTCCGCTTACCTCGACTAATTCCACAGGGTACCTGCTTCCTGCTTCCTGCCGCCAGTGTAGGTACTGGATAACTCTGTCCACCAAGGTTTGGACAGATGGGATGAAATCACTTAGTTTTTTTGCCTCCGCTGGTATTTGAAACCTCATGGCTTTTAACCCACTTCATTGACCATGAGGCCACACCCATGGGTTTTATCAAGTTATTTCTACCAAATGATTGCTTAGTTCTCGTGTTTTTTTTTAAAAAACTTTTTCGGCTGATGCTTTGGTTTACCTTTTCTTTAGTCAAATTTTAGCATCTTGAATGAAGCTGATATTCACAAACGCCAAGAGGATAGTATTACAAAGATATCTACAGTGCTTTCCATTTCAAGGGTAGCTGCTGGTATTCTGCTTCGCCATTATAACTGGTAAGTTCTTTTCATAAGACATAAGCATTATTTTGTAGTTATGATTATATATGTTAGATGTTGATATAGAATGGGTATTGAGCTAGAAGTTTTCCCTGCCTCAGTTAATTTTTGTGGCCATGGTAAATTTGTAGAGCATGCAAATCGTTCTTGTCATATAGAATTCTTGAGCATCTAGGTTCTTAAAGCTGATGCACATTGCTCTTACCTACAACATAGTAGAAAAGTTGGAAGGCTTTAGGGCTTATATGCTGAATATCCTAGCCTTTTTGGACTGACAGGAGTGTCAGCAAAGTGAATGATGAATGGTTTGCAGATGAAGGAAAGGTCCGCAGGATTGTTGGTTTATTAGAGAATCATGTGCCGCTCCCTGATGAAGAAGAGGTAACAAATTTCATAGAGGAAGAGCATTTTCTTCCTTTAGATCGGATGAAAACTAGTCAAAACGTTGATCACTACTATTTCCTTGAATTCAAGATGCAAATTTTCTTTCTTGCAGCTTACATGTGGAATCTGCTTTGATGATTATCCTCGTAATGAGATCACTGCCGCTGCTTGTGGTCATCCTTTTTGTCTCACCTGTTGGCAAGGTTAGTCTCTTATGAAAAGTGCCACTTTTTAATGGAAGTATGAAAGGTGTCCGGGTTAAATATTCGCTCTCCTTCAGAAATCTGGCATTCTAGGTTTCATGAAACTAGCCTTTTCTCGGACCCAAAATCTTTTAAGTTTTTGCTGCTGTCTTACGTATGCTCGTTATCTTGCTGTTGTGGTTGAGGCTTCCTTTGGAGCTCATCCAGCTTGTTGACAACTAAAAGATGTTGGGATGAAGAAGATAACAGTACTCTAGAGTTCCTACAGTGCTGGTCCAGGATAGATTTGGGAAGTCAAATGTCAAGATTTGAAACTTCATTCCAGCAGCTACATGGTTGTCCATTTGGATAGAAAGAACTGCTAGCTTTTTTGAAAGCAAAAAGGAATCTGTAATTACTGTGAAGTCTAGTTGCCCTTCTTTTTTACTTTTTTGGTGCAACATGGTGGTAATAAAGGATGTAGAGACCATGATTTTGAGCTCATTAACAATTTGTAATGCAACTATGGTTTTGGATGTTGTCCATTTTCTCACAGCATATTCTTGTTGCTATGAATCAATGCAATTATCTTTACTGATCCCAAAGAAGAAGAACAACATTATACTAATGGGAGGATTATACCTTTTATACTCCTTTCAGGGTTGTTCTTGATTTCTGAATTATATTATAGGTAACTCCTTTGGCTCTTATGTTGGTATTCTGGGGGAAAAGAACAATAGAGCTTTTGAACGGTTGGAAAGCATTTTCTGTAGCTAAGCTCTCTTGTTGTTGGTTAATTTTTGACGCACCCACGAAGTTCCTGTTAGCATAGTTGATTTGGTGGCTTTCATGGAGAACGATACTTTGTCTAGGTTTTCTAATACCACTTGTTATTGGACTTTTCCCACTTAAATAGAAAAGAATTGGTGCCCAAGCTGATCACAGAACTTATGGAGATGGGGTGCTATAGAGAAGATTACAGCTACATTCTTTGAGACGTTTTGTGGTTAATCTTGTCATCATAGAACAATGTTGAAGTGTAATTGAGAAGATTGATGTAAAGTATTTTCTTAAGTCTCTCATGTGAACGAAGTAATATTTTCACTGTTTGTGGTATGGTTAGTTTTTCCTACTTTTCTGTTTAGGCATCCCATGGAGCTTCTCATCTTTTCTTTATTTGGTGCAGGGTATATTGGCACGGCCATTAGTGATGGTCCTGGATGCTTGATGCTGCGCTGTCCTGATCCATCTTGTAGTGCTGCTATAGGTCTAGATATGATAAACAAATTGGCAAGTGACGATGATAAAAAGAAGTATAAGCACTACTTTATCAGGTCATTTGTGGAGGACAATAGAAAGGTAATTGTTTGCATAAAGCTTTTATTATTTGCCTTTTAAATCTTCCTCCCGCTTTTTCCCTCTTTCATACAGTGATACTTTGAGTTATTTTCGTAATTTTTCTTTAGAAGAATCTTTAGTATATGCTCTGTGCATCTATTAAGTTCCTAAAGGTTGTTCTGGTCTTCTTTAGACAAAATGGTGTCCTGCTCCAGGATGTGATTATGCAGTTGACTTTATTGTTGGTAGCGGAAGTTATGATGTTACTTGCGGCTGCTCATATAGTTTCTGCTGGAATGTGAGTTGCAATGTTTAAACTTAGCTACTTTAGTTAATGGTTGTTCTGTTTCTGCATTTCTGTAGTCACTATGGTTTACGAATTTATTTGCAGTGTACTGAGGAAACTCATCGTCCAGTTGATTGTGGAACTGTGTCCAAGTGGATTTTGAAGAACAGTGCTGAATCTGAAAACATGAATTGGTATGCAATATCAGATTTTATAATCCTTCTTTGTCTTTTTGTATTACTTGGTTTAGCTGACTTTGATAAATTAGTCGTGGAAGAGAGATAATAACTTCATGAAGGAGCTATTAAGTTAGTAAGCCCCTGATCAAATTGTTGCTCCATAGAGGGGGTTCAACCATCTTGGAAACATTGGTGGAAGTGGCTCATACCTTTGGTTGGAACTTACTATAATCCTGAATATCTTCCTTTTATTGGGAAAATAGTGTTTTTGGGACCAAAAGTTCCAAAGGTAGCATAAAAACACTGATGTTCCTAAGAAGCTGCAGCCATTTTCCTGTTTGGAACTTTTAAGAAAAGATCCCGTGTTGCTCTTTTGTCTAATTTTTAATTCCAACTTGTTTTCTCCCTGTTGGTAGATTTTGTTGTCAAGAAGTTTGAATACATCTGGGAGTATGGAGGAGGTTTTATCTTTTCGAAAGAAGGGACCATGATTGTTCCTCTGAACGGTCTCAAAGAGAACATAGCAGAATATTTTAATCAGGCTTGTTGGTTGAAGAGAAACATATGCTTAATGTTATATATCCTTTTGATTTGGACATGTAACCTTTAGTGATGGATATTGTTACTACTTGGAAGTCCCTGGTAAAGTTGACCAAACACTTTAACAACAACAACAACAACAAACCCAGTGTAATCCCACGAAGTGGGGTCTGGGGAGAGTAGTGTGTACACAATCTTACCCCTATTTTGTGAAGGTAGGGAGACTACTTTTGAAGACCCTGGGCTCAAGGAAAGATAAAAAAGAAACCAAAACAGCAAAATGGTAACAAAATCAATAGAGGATTAGTAAAATAACCGAGGCGAAAGAAACAAAATATAGTGAAAGAAATTCGCGGATAAGAAAATGCTAGGAAACAAGACTAATACCAAAATTACCAGTACGAAAGGAAGACACAATTGCTACCTATTATCCTTCTACTCTAATTCTCGACATTCACTCCTTCCTATCAAGGGTCACGTCCTCAGTAAGCTGAAGCAGCACTTGTCATGCCTTATCACCTCTTCCCAATACTTCTTAGGCCTACCTCTACCTCTTCTCAGTCCTATCATGGCCAACTTCTCACACCTCCTCACCGGGACATCTATGCATCTCCTCTTCGCATGCCCGTACCATCTCAGTCTCACTTCCCACATCTTATCCTCCACAGGGGCTACTCCTTCTTTGACCCAAATATCTTTCATTCCTAATCTTATCTTTCCTAATATGCCCTCACGTCCATCTCAGCATCCTCATTTCTGCTACTTTCATCTTTTGGACATGGGAGTTGTTGACAGGCCAACACTCCATCCCAGATAACATGGTCGGTCTAACCACCATTCTGTAGAACATACCTTTAAGTCTTAGTGGTACATTCTTATCACATAAAACGTCGAAAGTGAGCCTCCATTTCATCCATCCTGCCCCAATACGATGTGTGACATTTTCGTCAATCTCCCCATTACCTTGGATTATTGACCCGAGGTACTTGAAACTCCCTCTTGGGAATGACTTGTGTATAAAGCCTCACTTTCTCGTCCGTTTCATGGGTCACGTCACTGAACTTGCACTCCAAAACTCCGGGGTCTGTCTCCAAATCTCCAACCTTGCGTCAACACTGCCTCGTGTCTCGGCGATCAATACTATATCATCCCGATATAACTGTCCTAACATCTTAACTACCCAGGAAAATTAATGTAGCATTGCATGATAATTATTATAGGGTTCTGCTCATCCAATGAAGATAATAGTATAATGTTTTTTTTCTTGAGAAATAGCCAAAAGGTCTGTAATTTTTTATTTGGCCCACTGCTACTCTATGTCCTTTTTATCAGTTAGGATCATGTCTCAGGATGAACTCTGGCGGCGTGCTCTCATATTTCAGTATTTTCTATTTTTGTTAGAGTTCAGTTTCTGAGCTGAGGGTCTATCGGAAACAACCTCCCTATCTTCACAAAGTTTTGGGTAAGGCTGCGTACACACTACCCTCCCCTCCCAAGATCCCACTTGTGGGATTACACTGTGTTTGTTGTTGTTAGAGTCCAGTTTCTACCCTCCATGTTGTCGGATCAGAAGCATTTTGAGGTTTTTAAGATTTATTATGTGCTGATTTTTTGCAATTTTCATTGCTATGTGGTGCCTACATATAGCCTTTTTTTGTTTGTATTAACAGTTCATGCATCAAGCAGAGATACATTTGGTGTTATTAGATGCATCAAGCGGACACATATTTGGTGTTCAACTATGTTTTTGTGTTAGCTCAACTCCCCATAACCTAACTTTCTATACTATTAATTTGTGTATTTCATGTAAAAATCCACTTCCAGTGTGTGACATTAAACATCATTATCTTGGTGATATTGCAGGATATTAGCTAATTCTAAGCCTTGTCCGAAATGCAAGCGGCCAATTGAGAAAAATCAAGGGTGCATGCATATCACGTGCACACCACCCTGTAAATTTGAGTTTTGCTGGTAAGTGTGTCAGCTATAAATGAAATTTCTGTTCCTGTTCCTAGCATATGCTACTTGCACAATATTGTATAGAGTGTGCAAATAGAATTTTTTTTCAGCCATGCTTCCATTTTGCATCTGCTTCGTTTATCATACACATGCCAAGCAGCAGCCCCCCCCCCCTAAAAAAAAAAAAAAAAACAGATCTTGTTTCCAGTGTTATCAAAGGCGCGCTTAAGCCCTGAAGCGAGGCTCAAAATATGTTGAGCGCTTCACCTCGCTTAATGGGCGCTTCAGTGTTGTCATCAAGACTTTAAGGCATACTTTTCCTTGCTAACGAGCATAATCCGGAAGACGCGACACTAAACAATTGATATTTCACTTTATCATAAATTTTCTTCAATTTCTTTGTCCATATATTTGGTATTCATGCTTATAGATATTAGTCTTGGACTACACATATATATTTGTAGTTTTTCTCCATTTGCGCCTTTCTTCATTAAAACCCACGCTTTATTTGCGCTTTGCGCTTGAAGCCCCAACAGACCTCTTTTTTGCGCCTTTCGCCTTTGATAACACTGCTTGTTTCATTGTGATTCTTGTGAATCTTTTTTCCTAAAAAGACATCTTTGCAGGCTCTGCCTTGGCCCTTGGACGGATCACGGTGAGAGAACAGGTGGCTTCTATGCATGCAACCGTTACGAGGCAGCAAAACAAGAGGGGGTGGTAAGATCTTTGCTCTTTTAGTATTTTCTATTTCAAGATCTGTCTGCCAATTCAGTTCTTTTAGTCATAAACTAACTGATGTTTTGCTTCCAGTTTGATGAATCTGAAAAGAGGAGAGAAATGGCAAAAAATTCTTTAGAGAGGTATACACATTACTACGAAAGATGGGCCACCAACCAGTCGGTAGGTAGAGGTTTATGACACCTTTATTTTGGTTGTTTTCTCATTATCAGCTATCTCAACTTTACAACTGTTAGGAGAAACAAGATATAAAGAGAAGATTGGTATTTGCTCAAGTTCTTTCCAGATACTATTGTATTTTTACACAGACCTAACTTTGTATCCTAAGCATGAGGTGATGGCTTCTTGCATGGATGATTGATAAAATTACTGTCACATGAAATTGCTGCACATGATCTTGCTTTTAGTGTCATCAATTTACATATAGTAGCAAGAAGTATAATGTCCATGGTAATGTGTCAAATTGTGGTAGATGCTGCATGACTTCTGCTCCTACTGGGAGTCTCTTATTACCAATCTAAAGAGCTACTGATGCAATATGGAAATATAGATGGATTATGTACTAGCACTTAGTTGTACAGAAAATGAAATACTCATGCGTATGACTTTTGGCTTTTTTGGTGCAACCTACAGGATGCTAGAGATGAGAATAGCATGCTTGATTTCTCAGATTCACTGCAGGATTAGAACTTTATTAGAGATGGAACCATTTCTTTTTGTTTGGTGGAGAAAGGTTCCAATCATTGTAATTCTCTGGTACCAACTTAGCAGTTTGTACCAGATTTCTGTTATTAATACATATAATACTTTACCAGTTTTAAAAAAATAATGTACTAGCACTATTAAGTTATATTCTTAAGCAATTGTCAGCATGAAGTTGACCTGATTGGACATCTCGATAGTTCAGACGTTCATTCAGTATGGACGTGTACATTTGAGATTGGTTTTTACATAATCTAATGGGATGAAAAGAGTCCGTGCTATGGTGAAGATAACTAGGGAAATAATTTAACTAATCCTCCACTTTTGTTTGACCTGCATTCTGTTTTAGTTTGTCCCAAAATATGACCTCTTTCCTTAGTGGCAAAGTCAACCCAATCCAGAAAGACATTTTTATAGCTTCTTTTGTCATCTTTATATGTGATACTTATCTTAGATACCTTCGGAACTGGGAGCCTGGGGCTTGGATCCTCCTCATGAGAGATTATTCTTTCAAGTGAATGATTTTCCTGCTGTCTTCTCAAATCATCTTGTGCAGTATGCACGCACTAGAAGCATTGCCCTTTCGTGGGCCTGAATTGAAAAGTTTCTGAAGTAATGATCCAGAAAAAAATCTCTTTTATTTCAAAGTCATGAACGCATTTGGAGATGGGTTTCTTACTATCTTATCTGTTCAAGTAGTTAAACTTCTTTATGTGTCTTCATAGCCCTGCATACATTTCATGCTGGAACTCGGCTAAGACTGCATCATGGGGATATAGACTAAGCAGTGTGCAATTATGTTTTCTTGCCACAAAATATGATTGCATTTGTTTCTGATGCTTTATTATTTATCGGGAGAAGTCTTACTCATAATACTGCATGGTCTTTTTTTAACTACTTATCTGAATGTCAATAATGTCATCTTTATGTCTCATTTCAGTCTCGGCAAAAGGCACTTGCAGATCTTCAGCAAATGCAAACAGTACATGTAAGGAAATTTTCTTTTACATATAACCATCTTCTGCTATTTGCTATTACCTTTTAAATTTAACTAACAAACTGCTTGATTATAGTGCTTGTTTCTCTTTCTTGAAGAGAGGAAAAGTGATCATATTAAATTATTAAGTAGAAGAATGCAGATTCAAATGAACAGATTAATTGAAAAGGATTTATCGTTCTATGTGCAGAATATTTTCCCTGGGAAGTCTAGTCCCCATTTCTGTGGACTGAGCTGCTGAGTTTAAATTCATTGTTTTTCTTACACCGTCTCCTCTGAAAGTGTTTTAACTGTCTCTGCTTGTTATCTCCCAACTTACATTCATGCACGAGCGGGGTGTGTTCTGTCCTGATCTTTGTGTGTATAGTATATCTCATTGTGATGATATGAAGCCTTTTTTATTTGAGGCGAAACAAAACTTTTTGTTATCTTTCATATTCCCTATATTGCAATCCATCCGGCAACCCACAGAAGTCGTCACATACAAGGTTGGGTGTGAAAGAGGACTCAGGCATTTTTCTCTTTCAAGTTGTCATTAGCTGATTATTTCTCTGAATTTCTGGAAAGCATTTATATTTATTGCACGTTGCAGCTTGAGAAGCTGAGCGACAAACAGTGTCAACCCGAATCACAGCTCAAATTTATTATAGAGGCCTGGTTGCAGGTAATCTTAATTTCTACATCAATATCTAACGTTCTTACTCTCTCGTGCTTCATGTATATATGCTGATTATGACGGCTAAATCTTTGCAGATAGTTGAATGTAGGCGTGTGCTAAAATGGACATATGCATATGGTTATTACTTACCTGAGCATGAACATGCCAAGAGGCAGTTCTTTGAGTATCTGCAAGGTTTTGCCTTAGCTTCCCTTCAGAAACTCATTTAGATGCTTCCCTTGCTTTATTGAGCAATTATCGTTAATGCCATAGGTGAGGCTGAGTCTGGACTTGAACGGCTTCATCAGTGTGCGGAGAAGGAACTCCAGGGGTACCTCGATGCAGAAGGCCCGTCAAAAGAGTTTAATGAGTTCCGGACAAAGCTTGCAGGGCTTACAAGGTATTTAGATTCTGAAATAAACCTAGAACTCTAGTCTATCTATAAGTGGCTGGTGAATATGATGGTTCAAGTGCTGCTCTGTAAATTTTCTTTGGCAGAGATTTGGAGATTTCTGCCTCTTAAAACGATGAATAGACGACTGTTAGTTGGATAAAACATTTATGCTATACCATTTTTTCTACCTGGATTTAGGAAAAGAATAAAATTATTCTTGCTTTTCATCTTGGTAGGAGCAGATGAACAGATTCTATAGCATTTGATTATTATAGGAAGACACTACTTTTTTCCCTACTGAAGTGAGGGTGTAGGTGAATACAGTATGATGTCTTTTTAACATTCCTTAAGAAACACTAAAATCTTGCGGAACATTATTACTAACTTTTTTAGCAGACGAGGTTTCAATGGTTGCAAGTTTCTTTCGAATTAGGAGAGGCTCTTGCACTTCTTTTTATTGGAATAGTAGGAAGAAGTTTTTGCATTTGCTTGAGGGTTTATGATATTCCACTAAAACGATCAACCCTTTTTTACAGCTTAGACTAAATTTTAAGTGGTTCTGTTTTTTGGAATCAGTTAATAGAGAAGGAAGTTGAATGGGCGACTATTCTGTCTTGCTAAATTCTCCATTCACAAAATTCTTATTCTATTACGTGACCCATTAAGTAGTGCGACATAGAAAAATTGAGCCCTGGCGACCTCAGTGGGATCAGCAAGTCAATAGAGTAAGCATTCTTTAATGCAACATATGTCAAATTATTTTTTTGATTAGAATATTTTATCACCAATTAGGGAACTTACCCGTATAGGAATTGCAATAAACTTTAAATTGGATTAGTGCTAGTGTAGCAACCTAGTTTCTTGAGAGTCACACTCAAGCTGGGGTTTCTGAGGAATGTCCCGGTGAATAATTTTTGATATTTTCTGGTGTTAGCTAATGGTTCCAGCATCAGAGCCGGCAAAATCTCTTGTGATTCATAGTTTCAGTAAGAGAAAACTAGTATGGTTGTTGTACTGCATTAACGAAATCTTTTAATCAAGGTTTGATTAGCTTTAGGGTATGTACGTGTCCTTTGCTAACCTCCAACTTTAGTTGAACTGTTTACCAGGTGGAGGTTATTCCTCATTTTACGGAGCATCTTGCTGAAATGCAGGGATATTCCATCCATTTTAGTTTATTTATAGAGATGAGTAAGGAGAGTACTCTTATAATTTATTCTGTTTGAATGATGACAGTGTGACTAGAAATTATTTTGAGAATCTGGTCCAAGCCTTAGAAAATGGTCTCGCGGATGTGGACGCTCATGGTGCTTACAGCAGGGCAGCTAGCTCGAAAAGCCTGGGTGGTGGGAGCAGCAAAGCAAAAGGCGGTAGAGGGAAGGGAACCACATCGAGGTCAAGCAGTTCCAGAAACATCGATGATTCAGGACATTGGTCTTGCGAGTATTGTACATATGCCAATGTTAGGTCTGCTACCGCATGCCAGATGTGCCAGCAGCGCCGTTGAAGCCATTTTTGAGTTGCTACTGCTTCAGTCTGGGAATTCCTCATTATCTGCTGATTGCTATGGCTGAGGTCCAGATCCAGATGAAGATACGGGTTTCTAAGCTGGAGACATGCTGGAATGGGACGGAACCTAACAGTCGAGAACTATGATGGAGAAGCATGAAATGATGGCCATGAGTTGGAAGCCTTCATACCTCTTAAGATGAAATGTACATAATGTTTGTTATCTGTCATCTTTGTAACCTGTATCTGACTTGTGCAACAAAATGTTCTTTTGTAATATTCAACTCCCTGATTATATAACGTTGTTGTGTTGGTAAAGTGTTACTTTAGGCGGCTGCTACGTTTGCTACTTATAGTAAATCGCGGAGATCACACGTCTTATGTACACAAATATCAGAAGCCGTAAACTTTACGGTGTCCTCTCTCGAGAACAGGTTGTTTTGCTGAAAATTTAGCTTATACAGTTAATGACTAGGTCAGATCATTCTACTGACTATGCAATATGCATAACTGAAGAAGCTTGGCCAGGCCCGTCTGAGGCTTGGTTGCAAGCCTATCCACTTTAAAAAAAAATTAGTGAAGTGAAAAAATTGCACTTCAGAAGCACTTAAGGCCAAAAAGTTTGAAGTGCAACAAATGTTTTCTTACATTTAAGGTCAATAAGTTTGAAGTGAAAAATTGTACTTCAGATGCACTTAAGGCAAAAAGGTCTGATGTGTAACTAATGTTTTCATGTGCTTAAGGCCAAATAAGCCTGAAGTTCAAATTGCCCATAAACAAAAATTTGTTCTTCGAATTTTAACAATCCAATATACGATTTAATACCTAAATCTACTCCAAATAAGTTCAAATTTGAAACATAACCTCCAAATATCATCAAGAACAAATTTCAATCATCAATTTGTCAGAACAACAATAAATGTAACAAACCCATTTTGCAACTAAGAAAAAAAAAACCTAAGCAATAGTAAAAAATAAAATGCTACAACATCTCATCACTGTATGTGATGACCCAAAATGTCATCTTGTGTTTTAGAACGCAATCTGGTGTTCCGAGGCCTTCAAAACCTAATTTTATTTCTCCTCTATTTGCGTGCGCAGTCCGGGCACGTTTCCAGAAAGCCTTTATGTGGAAATTTGAGAAAAATAATAATTTTTGCCTTTATAAGTTGATTTTAGTTGACTTCGGTCAACATTTTGAGTAACGGACCCGGACCCGTATTTTGACGGTCCAGGTGGGTCCGTAGTAAAATATGGGACCTGGCCGTATGTCCGGATCGGATTCAGAGGTCCATAGCCCGAGTAATAAATTTTTGTTAAAAATTGTAAGTCTGAAAATCTAATGATTTAAAGAATTTGATTAAGGTTTGATCTCGTTGGTATCGGGACCATATTTTGGTTACGGAGCCCGGTCCAGGTTCAATATAATATTAAAGTCATGTTTGTTAAATTTGGTGAAAAACGGAGTTGATTTGACGTGATTCGGGCGTCCGGTTGCAAAAATAGGAATTTCAAAGTGTTCTTGAGAATGTCATGTGATTTTGTGCTAAATTTGTAGTTCTAGGTGTTAAATTGGCTATTTGATCGCACGAGCAAGTTCGTATGATATTATAAGACTTGTGTACATGTTTGGTTTGGAGCCCCGAGTACTCGGGTGAGTTTCGGATAGGCTACGGGGTGTTTTGGAACTTAGGAAATTTTGCTGGTATGACTGAACTTATTGCAGGCCTCTGATCTCGCATTTGCGAGGCTTCCATCGTAATTGCGATTAGAAGCTGGGCCATACAGTCTTCGCAATTGCGAAGTAAAGCAGGGAGGGGCGTTTGTCGCATTTGCGGAGGTTCATGTTCGCAATTGGGAGCTTACCTTCGTAATTGCGAAGGCAACAGAGATGTGAAGGACCTCATATTTGCGATGGTCCCTTCGCAATTGCGAAGCTCAGGTCGCAATTGCGACATCTGCAGCTGTGTAAAAGGGACTTAGACGGGATTTTTGATTCATTTCCCAAATTTTCAAAACCTAAACCTCAAGAGGCGATTTTCCAAAGGCCATTTCTTCCCCAAATCATAGGTAAATGATTCTTAACTCATTTCTTTCAATCTTTCACTTCTTATAACAAGATTTCAACCTAGGATCTAGGATTTTTATGGTGGAATTGGGGATTTTTGGGTATAAGCTAGGGATTTCGAAATTTGGGGATTTAGGCCTCAAATTGAAATCGGATTCCGAAACTAATTGTATATTCGGGCTCGGGGGTGAATAAGTAATCGGGTTTTGGTCCGAATTTCGGGTTCGAACCAAGCGGGCCTGGGTGTTGACTTTTTCAAAAATGGCCTAAATTGAATTCCTTGCTATCGTGGGTAGTTCCTAAGGCTTAAATTGAATTGTTTGGTTGATAATTTGTTAGATTCTGTTGGCCCGGAGGCTTGTGTGAAGTGAAAAGCGGTGATTGAGCCTTGAGTTTGGCTGAAGGGGGGAGGTAAATGTTGTGGCCAACCTTAGCTTGAAGAATTAGGTGTTATACGCTTATTTCTACGTGTTTGGATGTTGAGTACGACGTATAGGTGAGGTGACGAGCATCTATACGTTGTTGTTGAGTCATAACATGTGAGCGAGCTTTATTCTTGGAAATGTTATATTTTTGATCATGTTGTTCATATGTAGACTAGTTAATCGAAGCGTTGAGAAGTTTCTTATCATGTTTTATGGAATTTGATATTGATTGGATTTTTACCCAAAGATGAGATTGGTATTGTGGAACTAAGTGTTGAAGTAAGACTTGTTGTTGCCATTTCTATCTCTCTATTGTTGTTGTGTCTGTTTGGGTGAGGTAGAGTGATAAAGCACGAAGGGTGATGCCGTGCATATTTCTATTATTTATGTGGTGAGGAAGAGTGATAAAGCACGAAGGGTGATTTCCAGTTGTTCGAGAGTTCCCAGAGGTATTTCCTGCAGACCTGGCGGGGATGCCACCCGACAGGGATATTGACTTCTGTATTGATTTGGTTCAGGGCACTCAGCCTATTTCTATTCCGCCATATCGCATGGCCCCGCCAGAGTTGAAAGAGTTGAAGGAGAAGTTGCAAGATCTTCTTGATAAAGGCTTTATTAGACCTAGTGTCTCGTCTTGGGGTGCGCCGGTGTTGTTTGTAAAGAAGAAGGATGGATCGATGAGGATGTGCATAGACTATCGACAGTTGAACAAAGTCACCATAAAAAACAAGTATCCATTGCCGAGTATTGATGACTTATTTGATCAGCTTCAGGGTGCCAAAGTGTTTTCAAAGATCGATTTAAGGTCTGGCTACCATCAGTTGAGGATTAGGGCATCCGATGTCCCTAAGACAGCTTTTCGGACTCAGTATGAGACTTATGAGTTTCTAGTGATGTCATTTGGGCTAACAAATGCCCCAGCAGCATTTATGGATTTGATGAACCGGGTGTTCAAGCCCTATTTGGATTCCTTTGTGATTGTTTTTATTGATGATATCTTGATCTACTCCCGCAGCCGAGAGGAGCATGAGCAGCATCTTCGGATTGTTCTTCAGGCTCTGAGGGACATCCAGTTATATGCTAAGTTTTCGAAATGTGAGTTTTGGTTGAGTTCAGTTGCATTCTTGGGTCACGTTGTATCAACAGAGGGTATTTAGGTGGATCTTAAGAAGATTGAGGCCGTTCAGAATCGTCCTACACCTACATCAGCTACATAGATCTTGAGTTTCTTGGGATTGTCGGGTTATTACCGTCGGTTTGTGAAGGGGTTTTCATCTATAGCATCCCTAGTGACCAGGTTTACCCAGAAGGGTGCCCCGTTCAGATGGTCGAACGAGTGTGAGGCGAGCTTTCAAAAGTTCAAGACAGCTTTGACTACGGCGTCGGTGTTGGTGTTGCCCGCAGGTTCAGGGCCCTATACATTATATTATGATGCATCTCGTATTGGACTTGGTGCGATATTGATGTAGGGTGGCAAGGGTATTGCATATGCTTCACGGCAGCTGAAGATTCACGAGAAGAACTATCCAGTTCATGACTTAGAGCTGGCAGCCATTGTTCACGGGCTGAAAATTTGGAGGCACTATCTATATGGCGTGTCGTGTGAGGTGTTCACGGATCATAAGAGTGTGCGGTACTTGTTCAAGCAAAAGGAGCTCAATTTGAGGCAGAAGAGGTGGTTAGAGCTATTGAAAGACTATGATATCACCATCTTGTATCATCTCGGAAAGGCCAATGTGGTGGCCGACGCTTTGAGTAAGAAGTCAGCTAGTATGGGCAATCTTGCGTACATTCCAGTCGGTGAGAGGCCACTTGCATTAGATGTTCAGGCCTTAGCCAGTCAGTTTGTGAGGTTGGACGTTTCTGAGCCAGTCGCGTTTTAGCTTGCACAGTCGCTCGGTCTTCCTTGTTTGAGCGCATCAGGGAACGACAGTATGATGACCCTCATTTGCTTGTCCTTAGAGACACAGTGCGACACGATGATGCCAAGCAGGTTACGGTTGGAGATGATGGAGTTCTGAGGATGCAGGGTCGTGTTTGTGTGCCTAATGTGGATGGACTTCGTGAGTTGATTCTAGAGGAGGCCCACAGTTCCCGGTATTCTATTCATCCGGGGCGCCGCGAAGATGTATCAGTACTTGCGGTAGCATTATTGGTGGAGGAGGATGAAGAAGGATATTATTGCATATATAGCTCGGTGTCTAAATTGTCAGCAAGTAAAGTACGAGCATCAAAGACCTGGTGGTTTGCTTCAGAAGATAGAGAGTGGAAGTGGGAGCGTATCACTATAGATTTCGTTGTTGGACTCCCACGGACTCAAAGGAAGTTCGACGTAGTTTGGTTATTGTGGATAGGCTGACTAAGTCAGCGCATTTCATTCCTGTGGCAGTTTCCTATTCTTCGGAGCGGTTGGCAGAGATTTATATCCGTGAGATCGTTCGTCTTCATAGTGTGCCTGTGTCTATCATTTCTGATCGAGGTACGCAGTTTACCTTGCATTTTTGGAGGGTAGTACAACGTGAGTTGGGTATGCGGGTCGAGTTAAGCACAACATTCATCTTCAGACGGACGGACAGTCCGAGCGTACCATTCAGATCTTGGAGGATATGCTTCGCGCCTATGTAATTGACTTTGGAGGTTCTCGGGATCAGTTCTTGCCGTTAGTGGAGTTTGCCTACAACAACAGCTATCAGTCGAGCATCCAGATGGCCCCCTATGAGGCATTATATGGTAGACGATGTCGATCGCCAATTGGGTGGTTTGAGCCGGGGGAGGCTCGGTTGTTGGGTACAGATTTTGTACAGGATGCCTTGGATAAGGTTAAGATCATTTAGGA